CAAGGTATGCAAAGGGAAATGTAACACAGAGAAAACTAAAGGTATTAAGTGTCTCGTTGATCCAATGATGCCAGGAGAGAAAGTCTGCAAATGCCCACCGAATCAAGTTCACGCGGCTAGAAGTTCCAAAATATGTGTCCGTAAGTCCACTCTTGATTGACATAATTAATTTATATTTGGGTGTTTAGAAATATATGGGAAGGGGTACAGTACTCTGAGGCCAGAGAATTTAATTTTCGAAAGTCGGGAATCCATTTAAGTAAGTTTTGATCAATGTGTATCAATATTTTATACCTAAGAAAGGGATATTCCCTTAAATCCAGCTAGAAGGCCGGTTTTCCTTTTTTTTTTTGTTTTTTTTTTTCACATTTCACATTTTCACATTTTTTTCACATTTCGGAAAATTTAGCGTTGTAAATGGACTATATTTTGTTTCCCAAACTATTCCATATAACGTATTAAGTCAACGGTTTCTCGCGTAACCTAACACCGCGTAACACAACGAGTGACACTTCAAAGAATAAATACATATGTGTCCGAGAATTAATTTTTCGTCTTTCTCGAGATGTGAGCTTGGGACGTCTCTGCTCAAACTCCTTAATTGCAGCCCAGGGTTGTAAGATTGTATGTAAACGCGTTTTATTTTTCGACCACGGTTATAGCGTCCCCCACCTCCATGTAAACAGGCCCAAAAACTCGTCGTCGACCACTTGGGGAGGACGAGTTTTTTCAGGTTGTGTGACCGTGACAGAATTAGTGCGCATGCTCAGTATGCGCGCGAAACTGGTCCTGGTCCTGGTCCTAGTTCTCGGATCTGAAGGTCTCTAATACTTACACTAACAATACCCATGTAAACATTACGCGCTTCTAATAGTTGTAACATGAGTGCAAAGCTGTAACACCAGTTCAAATTACAAATAGCACGCGCGCTGCCAAAATTTCGTCTGTCCTCACTTTCTGTGATGCTTTTTTCATGTTAATCATTATCAAGTAACAACATGATTTCTTGCGCAATTTGATTTAAATAAGCGCTTGTAAATTTTCAGGACTACAGATTGCACTCGCCCGGGCTCGTGTAACTTTGTTGTACTCTGAAAAATTTTACTCCTACTCACATACACCCAATTGCACCCGAAATCATGTTATTACCTGGGCATGTTTTTCTCGAAATTTGTTGCAGCCTGCATGACTGACAAGCAATGTAAAGGGGATGAGCGCTGTGAGGATTTTGAGTGCAAGAAACCTGGTAAGACTACCGTTTTAGCAAATCCAAATTACTTTAGAATTTCTGAAAGTGTTTGTCCGTGTGAGAGGGGGGAAAGGGGATTACTTAAGTCGATTTTAGCTTGCTACAAGCCGCTGGCCTCTCAGAACCCCCTACCCCCATTCTAGCCTATAGTCTTCTTTGGGCAAATTTAATTCTGGCAATTCCAACTCAGTCACTTTCTGTAAATGCATCTACTTTATGGAGCCTTTTTGGAAGGTGGTTCTTAAATGAATTGACAAGTTGTAAACTTACTCGTAAAATCCCGAAGAAAAAACCTAAAATTCAACCCTTTTATAATCAATCCAGTCGTGAAAAAGTGACCCTATCCATCGACACATCCCCATTAGGCTATTAAAACGAAGTTTCCCCCCCCCCCCTTCCTTCTTTGAGGGAACGACCGCTTGGCTACGTAATGTTCTGTTTGTTTTATAGATACTGATGAAATTCCTACATAAATAAAATTTTTTAACATCACTTTCCGAGACTTCCTGAATGTTCTTCAAGCTCGGAAAAGTATCGATGTGAAAATTTGGAGAAAGTCACCAGTAACTGTACCGTCTTCGCACCTCAAAGCCATTTTGTGAGTGAAATTTCAAAAGAACCGGCGCGCGCCTGAGCAAGAAGCTCTCATGTAATTGGCTAGTCATGCTAGTAACCATAGCGACACCAATATCCTCACACGTGAAAGATAAAAATAGTACCTTCACTGCGCGCGATGAAGATATGATTTTTTAGCAAAAGTAAAAATCCTGGTATTTCATCAGTATCTATATAATAATGCTAAATATGCTATTCAAAATTTGCAATGGTAGTTTATTGTTCTCTGTCAACCGTTAGTATCAGTCGGCTAAATAACTGTTGTTTTAAAACAGATTTACATCCGTGTGATTCGTCCGAGGACTGCCATAGAAATGCTGAATGCCGCGATAAAAAGTGTCACTGTAGAGAAAAGTACGCCGGGAATGGACGTAATTGCTCAGGTATAGCGATAGTGGGGAAGTGTAGGATATCAGAACCGTCTCCTCCCATTCAAACTTGTGGGGCTTTCACCTCTTGTATGACGCTAAGATTCTTGCAAAGATAAAATACATACTACTTTGGGTATGCAGATTTGCTTGTCTAGAAACATTTCCTGGCCTACTTAAGGCTCTAAAGTTAAAAAAGAATTGTTTGTCTTCTGATTTAAATTTTGGACTCCTTCGTTAGAAAACTCATTTACTAGTTCAAACAACGTAGAAAATAAATTTTAAACTGGTTAAATGAACCACAACAGTTGGCTCGAATAAAAATTTCGAGACTTTGTAGAATTGCAAACAAAGTGGTAACAACTTTGCGCGAACAAAAGCTAAAAAAATCCAACTAAAGTTAAAACAAACAGCAAAAGTACGAGGAAAATGTCCACTTCAGTTTTCTAATGTCAAGGTTAGAGTTCTTTGACGTGATTGGCTATTCGTGACTAAAAAAGGGAAGACGAAGGGGAGAGAAAGACAAAAATTGTTATTTGAAATCTAAAAGCAAAATAAACTTTCTACACCCCCCCCCC